ATTCATGGTGTGCAAGATGAAGAAATAAGGTTTAACAGATTTAAATATAAGGCACAGAAAGGTTGGTATTTTAACCACTGTCACACAGCTGACCTTTAGTGGAGCAAGGATTTGAACTCAGAGAACTTAACTCCAGGATTCAAACTATTAGCCATATCACCGGGCTGGCATCTGATCATTGGGCTTACCCCTGGCCCTTACATTTTAAGAAAGATGCTGACAGATCAAAGCAAGTATGGCAGAGAGCTACCAGATTGGGAGAGGCTAGAAATCTTACATATGAAAAATCCGGGGGTTTCCGTATGGGATAAAAAATGAACTTGGGGGGTAGAGTGTATGAGTCAGTTGAGCGTCCAACTCTTAATTTCAGTTCAGGTCATGGTCCCAGGGTTGTGGGGTCAAGCCCCGTGTCAGACTCTATGCTGAGCTTGGAGCCTGCTTAAGATCCTTTCTCTCTCTCTGCCCCTCACTACCGCCCCCCCCCCCACATAACTCTCTAAAATCCCAAAAAACAAAACAAAAATAAAAATAACTTGGGGGAAATGCAACGTCTGCCCTCAAACACTCAAAGAAATGTCACATGCCAAAGCAAAGAGATTTATTCTGCACAGAAGGATAAGGGCAAGAGACGGATTTCAATTTTCTGAAGATTAGAGAGTTATCCCAAACTGGAATCAGCTGCTTTAAGGTACTGAGCTCCCTGGCACCAAAAGCATGCAAGCAGAGGCTGGACAGCTTGTCAGCCAGGCTTCCTACTGAGATGATACTCTCCCTCTTCTCAAGGTGCCTACAGCACTGCCAAGATGTACTAACTCAGCACCCTTGTTGCCATTGGTTTCATGACTGTAAATTTCACACAGCTTTCTTGAGGTAATTTACCTACTATCCAATTCACCCATTGTGAGAAAGCAATTTGAAGGTTCTTAATAAATGTATACAGTGGTGCAGCCATCAGCACAATCCAGTTTTAGAACAGATTGTAGTTTTTTGATTCCCAAAGAACATAAGCATCCAAGGTAGGTCGAGGTGTCCCTTGGCTGCAGCCTCCACTGGCCTAATAACGCAGCCCACGTCCCCATGCCCTGGCTCTTCCCCTCCATCCACCACTCATTCTTTCCTGTCAGCTGCCCCTGCTGTTGTGAGCCTGGGCCCTGGACCCTCCCCAGCTGTCTCCACTGTCACTTTTGCTTCCTTCTCTCGCCACGTGCCAGTGTCTGGTCTTTGGCACAGAGTCTGAGGTGGCAGTGTGTTCTGGAAGAATCTGAACCCTGGTGCCCCAGATCTACATTTGAATCATGGCCATGTGGCCTCACAGTTACTCTATCCTCTTGAACCCTGGCTTCTCCCTTTGCAAAATAGATGTAATACATGTGCCTTGCTGGGTGTGAAGAGCAGAGCTGATGTATGTCAAGTGCCTACAATGGTATGATGCTCAATAAATGGCAGTGATTACCGCTTTGCGATTATGATTACCGCTTCTAATCCTGCTGCCACCTTTATTATCATTGGCACTCACAAGTGTTCTGCTCTGGGTGTCCATTTGCCTTTCTCTTCCAGGCACATCCCTAACTGCAAGCCGTTTCCTAGGTTACTCCTGACGTCCCGGGAAGAAGACGGATGCTGCCAGCACCTGGAACCCCCGAGGCCCACCTCTGCCAGCGCTGCGTGTAGGTCAGTGGGATGAAGCAGCAGCACCACCTAGTGGCGATGAGCAGCAGCAAGTTATTTACTGGTCAAATTAGTAGCTAGTCTGACTAGACACTTCGGAGCCTTAAAGGTCAGTGGTCCATCCAATGCTTGTGTGTGAGTCTTGTGTGTGCACAGCACCCTCCTTCTCATGGCCATGCGTTAAAATAAAAGAAGACGATTAAAAAAAATAAAAATAAAAAGAGAAGAAAATTTCATAGCATGGTGCTCCTAGAGACCACAAGGTGTGACATGCCAGTTTAAAAAGCATCCCCAGCAGGGGCGTCTGGGTGGCTCAATCGGTTGAGCGTCCGACTTCGGCTCATGATCTCGCAGTTCATGAGTTTGAGCCACACGTCGGGCTCTGTGCTGACAGCTCAGAGCCTGGAGCCTGCTTTGGATCTGCCCCTCTCCTGCCCACGCTGTCTCTCTCTCAAATATAAACAAACATTTTTAAAAAATTAAAAAAAAAAAGCATCCCCACCAAATCTACAGACAGAAAGATCAGTGTCAGTGGTTAGTGGTTGCCTAGGATTGGGGTGGGGGGGAGGGAGGATGGGGAGCAAATGCTAAAGGGCATAGGGTTTCTTTTCAGGATGACAAAGATGTCCTAAAATTACAATAATGGTCACACAGATCTGAGTATACTGAAAACCACTGACTGTATGCTTTTAAATGGGTGAACTGTAGAGTATGTGAATTATGTCTCAATAAAGCTGCTACCAAAAAAGGTGAGAAGAATATCGAAACTTTCAAAGGGAAAAAAAAAAAATTCATCTCCACGGCGTATCATCAGATTTGTGTGTACTATCTGACGACCTCCATCAGACCTGCGGACAAAGGACTCAGGTCACTTCATGGTGTCCTACTTCACTTGAAACCTACCTCAACAGGAGTGTAAACCCTCCGGTGCTGAGCAACTCACATGGAAACATTCCCAGTCCTGTTAAGGCATTATATGCCTTATTATAGGCATTATATGCCTATATTATATTATAGATCTGATTATATGACCCACTATATATAGAATTGACTCACAGAACCCCCATATTACCCCATATTCTTGGTATCCACACAGAGCTGTATCCCAGAGGTCAGGCTTCTAGGTAAGGAAATGCAGGGTCATTGGCTGAGTAGCCCAACCAAATCCAGCCAGGAAGTGGGCAGAGCTTTAATTTCAGCCTCAGACTTGGATTCAAGGTTCAGAGCCCTTACCATTCCATAGGGTGACCACACAACCCATTTTTTGCCCTGTGTCCCGCATAATTATTGGTAGCATTCCATTCCCTCTCAAGATAACACATTCCATGGTTCCTATGGGGCAGTCCTTCCCCTGGGGTTCTGCCTCATCTGTGCCTCAGATCTATGTCTCTGGACGGATGCTGTGGTCAGGCCAACAGCACCTCAGCAATTCCTAAAGCACCCACCAGCCCCAGGCCCCTCACCTGCCCGGAACAGGCAAATCCAAAGAAACAGAAAATAGATTAGTGGTTGCCACAGGCCTGGGGGAAGGGAGGAATGGGGAGTGGATGCTACTGGATCAGGAGTTTCTTTGGGGGGCTTGTCTAAAATCAGTCGTTGTGGTTGCATATACTAAAAACCACAGAACGAACCAAAAAACGGAAGAGAAACAGGTGAGGATAGGACACAGCAACATGCTTGGTAATCAAGGACCCCAGCTGGTCTCGTGAACATTCTCCATGGTTAGAAAAGGACCAAGCATCCAGCAGGAATAGAAGGTAAAGAGAGCAAGAGAGAGATTTATACAGCCCCCACACACGATCCCACTTCCCTTCTCCTACAAATAACGCTCATCGGTTTGTGGCCACCAGCACTGTTGTTCACACTTAGACATGAAGATACTCCCCGGGAAACACCAGAGCAAGGTATACAAAGGTCTGAGACACTGAATCCGCACAACCGTACTGGGTAAGTATCATCATTCCCATTTAACAGTTAAGGAAAAAAGGGGCCCCTGGGTGGCTCAGTCGGTTAAGCGTCCGACTTCGGCTCGGGTCATGATCTCACGGTTCGTGGGTTCAAGTTTGGCGTCAGACTCTGTGCTGACAGCTCCGATTCTGTGTCTCCCTCTCTCTCTGCCCCTACCCCACTTGTACTCTGCCTCTCTCTCTCTCTCAAAAATAAATAAGCATAGAAAGAAAGAAAGAAAGAAAGAAAGAAAGAAAGAAAGACAGACAAAGAAAAGAAAGAGAAAGGAAAACAGGTAAGCAAATGGAGGCTCAAGAGATACAGAAGCTAAGAGTAAATGGCCAGAGGCCAGCAGCCAGTAAGGGACATAACTGGGATATCAACATGGCTTTCAGGGACCCAAGTCTTTGTTCAAAGTGACTACACTGAAGTGGCCCTGCTCACCCCCACTCACCAGCTCCAGACCATAGGGAAAGCCCATAGTTTGAAAGTGTCACGGATGCGATCAGTGAGGATACTGCTAGAGGCACAAAGGCCCAGGACAGCACCTCCGGGGTCGTCTTTTGCACAAGTACCCTGGGAATGTTCAATAGGAAGTCTGCTAAGACGGAGGGAAAAGGGATCTTAAAGTAGTTCGACGACACATACAGAAGCACGTGGCTGTCCTCTCCTCCTTCCAAAGCAAGTTCTTTATTGTCCAACCGACCGACAATTGTTAAACGAGGCCTAGCACTGTACTAGGTACAACGTACTAAGCACAAATACAAAAGTAGAGGACACAGTCCCTGCCCATTTGAGGCGCACAACTTAAATCTCTCAGGAACTGTTCCAGGGTTAAAAACCAAATCGGGACTTGGATGCCAGTATTGCAACGAACAGTCTTTAGGGTCAACATCTTACAGAAAAACATCACACCCCACGTTGATCGTGGCAGGAAATCTCTTCCTGGGAGTATCGACTTCATTATTATCAATAAACAAGGATTACTTTAGTTCCAGTTCACCTTACATTCCCCTCCTCTGTAATTTGAATAAGAAGCTTTTTTGAAAAAGGACTTCTCAAGGGTCACGTAGTGGAAGTGCTCAGGTACACATCCGGTCAACAGCTGTCTGGCCAAACGAGCTCTAGACTACCACGTGAAACCAAGCTCACCTCCAGGCCATTTTCATGAACATTCTGAGGACCACATAAAGCACGTTTCCACGTAGGACATTATTGCCATCCGGGAGGGGGAGCGGGCGCCGCAGAGAGCGGTCCGGAGGAGACATTTTCATATCAAAAGTGAGCACCGACTCAGGGGCAGTCACAGGGGTGGCCGGGAATTTCATCTCGACCCCAAAGGAAGCTCTCAACCCTCTCTCACTCGCAGAACTCACAGGTGTGTGGTTCTGGGAACAGAAACAGACCAAAACCGAAAGTTGAAGGGAGATCATGAACTTGGCGACGATTCCATCACAGGAGTGAACCTCCCGCTTTGAACACAGAACATTAGCACGGGACAGAGAAGTGGGAGCAGCAGCCTCGGGAGCCTGAAACCTGAGAAGGGGAGACAGACGCAGGGACACACGCCTGCCCCTCCGCAGGACCCTGTGGCCAAGAACCTCGGCCTCCCGCTGGGTTACTTACCCCACATGGTCTCCATCGGGCAAATAAGAGGCAAACGGGAAGGAACTAGCATGAGGGAAGGACTGGAAAATTTTCTAGTGTTATGCAGACTTGACACTCTAATGAAAAAGACCTCGAGTTCCTTTAAATGAAGCACATTACACCAGGAAGAAAATAACTTAAGGGGAAAGTTCAGATCTGAACTTCAAACCCGCAGGAAGCAAGTGCCTTTTTCCTCTTGAGGATCTTTTGCTTTAAAGCACTGACAAGTGAGTTGCTAGCTCTGGCAGTGATGGGCAAGAAGGACGGGCCCTTCCTGCTTACAAAAGAACACCAGCGTCTAAGGGGACTCGAGCTGTGCGGAGACGCCAGCCCCGGCTCTGCCAGCTCCACTCAGCCCCCAGCCAGCTCCCCGCCTCCTGCCCGCTGTGGAGACGGCTCTGGCGAGCGCGCACCAGGAAGCCCCCGGGGGCCCTCCACCGGCGGCCAGGCTGAGCGCCGGAGCTACTCAAGTGGAAGGTAGCATTTCACATGTAACACTGGTTTTTCTTCAAACGTAAGACTGGTTTTCTTACAGCATGTATAAGGCACAGTGTGAGAAAGCTGCTCCCGCTCCCAGCCACACACCCACACTCAGCTCCTCGCACGCACGCACGCACGCACACAGAAGAGGCCAGCTGACTTTGCCACAACGCACGGGGAAGGGATCGCTTCCGATCACTTCTGGTTTTTGAGCTGGTTGGAGAGCCAGTCCAGGCCTTCGTAAAGCCCATCTCCACTGGTGGCACAAGTGGCCTGAATGTACCAGTTTCTCTGGCGGAGGGAATGTAAGCCGAGCTTGTCTGTTATCTCCGCTGCGTTCATAGCATTCGGAAGATCCTTGAAAAAGAAAACCCGAAAGTCAGTTTTTAACGATGCATTTATATAACAAAATACTACTTTCTTCTCCCCAAACCTACCCCACCCCACAGTCTGAGCTCAGCTGACCCTTAATCTCTCGCTCTCTCTGACCTCTCAACTCCACACTGGGTACCACCACTGGTTGTACCATCAAAACAGATGCAGAATCTGACCCCTCCTCAGCACCTCCACAGATACCCTCCCGATGCCAGCACCATGACCTCTACCCTGGAGCACTGAAAGAACTTTCCTAATTGGTCCCCTTGCTTCTGCACTTGTTCCCCTCAAGTCTGCTCTCAACCCAGCAGTCAGGGGAAGAGCGAACCATTCTTTCAAAACCCAACAACAGCTCCATCTCTCTCAGGGGGAGAGCCAGCGTCCTTGTGATGGTCTGCAAGGCCTTCGTGACCTGAGCCCCCAGGACCCCTCCCTAATTGTCCTGCTTAATCTTTTCAAATGCCGAAGTCACCATATGTTGCTACATTATAAAACTTACTTATTTGGTACGTGGATTACTTATCATCCATCTCCTCTCACTAGAACCCAAGCTTGTTTACAAGCTTGTTCTCTGATATATTTCAAGTTCCTACAACTATGCCTGCCACGTAATGTAGATCTAAACATATCGATATGGATCTGGATATAGTGACATGGAATGACATCAAAGATATGCTAAGTAAAAAAGCTGATCTCCAGAATGTAAATATGAATACGATCACATAACTGTTTACACAGGCATAGAATGTTGTAACTCTGGGAAAAGAAGAAATTCAACAATGTTTTACCCTGAAGAGTGAGGCTAGAACATTTCACTTGGTATTCTGAACCGCTGGCATGTTTTTACCACGGGCATGTTCTGTTTTTATAATTAAAAAGAACAAGTGTCATTTTCTTTTTGAAAGTCTATTGTGCTCACTAGTGAAATTCTGGACTGGCATCGAACCCAGCGGTAGGGTAATCACTGAGTGATGAACCAGCCACCATTTAAAATCATGATTACAAAGAGCTGGATGGCAAGAGAAAAAGTGACACACAGGATGCAACCCAGTCAGAAGAGCGTGAGCTCAGTCACATAACGAATGTGTTCATGGAGGAGAAAGTGGATGGAAACACACCACAATCGACTGAGGTTATCTCGGGCTGGTACGTTCCACAACTCTACCTTCTTTTCCAAGCTTAGTTCGGCTTTGAGTCCCGAGGTGGGACGGCTCTACACTTGGCCCTCCTCCCACTCTTCCTTTACTGCTTTCCATTACATTTATGTAGAAGACCCTTCTCCTCCTGGAAGATAGGCCCCCTATGATGCAACCATCTCCTCCCTCACCGCCCCCGCCCGCTCTGTTCCAGCTGTATTGGCTGCCTTGCTATTTTTGGCCCCACATGGCTCCCTTCCTGCTGGCCTTCAGGTCTTCTTCTCAAATGTCATCTTATGATGGAGGAATCCTGGCCCTTCCCCACATCTATCCTCCACACTTCCAGCAGACACATTACATATTATTTACCGACTGACTCTGCTTGTGCTAGAATGCAAACTCCATGAACACAGGGATTTTTGTCAGTCTTGCTGCTCACTGCTACAACACCAATACCTAAAACAATGCCTGGATCTTAGTAGATGCTCAATTAATATTTGTTGCATGAATGAATAGAAGACATAAGCTAAAAAGGAGGTGCATAGGGGGCGCCTGGCTGTCTCGGGGTTGTGAGTTCAAGCCCCATGTTGGGCCTAGAGCTTACTTTAAAAAAAAGAGAGAGAGAGAGAGGTGGGGAGTAAGGTGGGAAGGTTACAGTAGAGACTAGAGAAAGAGGAAGGCAGATATCTAATTTAAGTATCCATATTTTTAAGTGAACATCTGGCAGAAATTTCAGCCCCGGTATTCAGAAAGCCAACAACATACCTGTTTATTTACAAACACCAATAAAACTGCATCTCTGAGCTCATCTTCTGCCAACATTCTGGTTAGTTCTTCTCGGGCCTCATTGACCCGCTCTCTGTCATTACTGTCAACCACGAAAATCAGACCTGGAAAGAAATCACAAGCATGTTGGTAATCTGAACCTGGAAAGGGGAACTGTTTATACGTCCTTACAGCTTCTCCCTACTTATGTGTATGGTTTCACCGAAAGCAATCCATAAGGAAGGACATCTAATCTCCAGTCAGGAAGCCTGCTGCACACTCAACCCACCTACCTTTTCAGAAGCATCACAGGCCTTCACCAGATTAACAGAAACAAGAATATAGAGAGAAAAGGTTAAGGTTCATGCTTTATCACCTTGCTTCTACATCATGCCTACATAATGAAGTCCCAATAAGAACAAAGGACGTCAAAGTTCAGAGAAGCATCCCAGGTTGGCAAGACTCGAATGATGTTACACATCAGCGTGCCAGAGGTAATGCAGTGTTTTCTCCGTGTGCAAAGGACCATGGAAGCTTTGTGTCTGGTAACTCCCAGACCTCGCCCTATGTGTCTCTCCCTTTGGCTGGTTCATTTGTATCCCTGTGCTATAACAAAACTGTAATTCTAAGTATCTCGCTTTCCTGAGTCCTGTGAGTCATTCTGATGAATTACCGAACCTGAGGGGGTCGTGGGAACTACTGAATTTGCAGCCAGCCAATGAGAAGTGAGGGTGGTCTGGGGACCCCATTTACAGCTGGTGTCTGCAGTGAGGGAGTCTTGTGCCTCTAACCTGTGAAGTTTGGCCCAACTCCAGGTAGCTGGTGTCGGTAAATCTTTGCAGGATCCCACACTAGAGAGAGCATCAGGGGATCCCCAGGAAGCAAGAGACAGGTCGAAGAAAGATACCACCACACTGTGTGGAAGCAAAGGTGGTAGAAACCTGCACACACCTGGTTGCTGCTACGTTGGCTGGAGGAAGCACTGGGCCAAGATGATTCCCTGGGGAATCCTACTCATGCCCAAATAGAGAATGGGGAAGACCGTCTTCGCAGCCATCCGTGTATGGTAAAGTACATAATGATAGTAAGAACTTGGTGGCTAGCTGACAATAAGCCCTCCGTGCGACAAAAACGTGAAGTGGCTGCCAGAACTAATTTGCTCTCAGGCTGTATCGAGAGCAGTGTCAGCAGCTCAGTTTCTAGGGTATGGGCGATAAAAAGCCTTCTCTATCGTGTGTCAGTCAGAACATCCTGTGAAGATTACATGGTCGCTGCAGGACCCCACGCTCTACAACGCAGGCGCACTGGAAGGATTCAAAGAAAGACTAGGAAGGCAGAGGAACTAGAGACGATGTCAGACGAAAAAGAACTGACATAACCGGGGATATTTTATCTTGAGAAAAGACTCACTGGGGGACTGACAGCTGTCTTCAAATATCTAAGAGCTCATGCCATAAAGAGAGGTTCAACCGGTTTTATATAGCTCTATAAGTACCCTGAAGATCAGTGGGTACAAACTACAGGACATCAACAAAGAGTCAACAAAACTGAAGACGCAACGGGCTGCCTCGGGAGGCCTCCTTGTCGCTGGGGAGATTTGTGCCCCGCTTCAGCCACAGCTTATGGGGACACTGCCAAAGGGACCTTCCCGGTAGCAGAAGTGTAGCGTGAGAGGATAACTTCTTGGCTGCCTCCAACACGGATTTCACAACGATGTCAGGAGGGAGAACCGGCGCTGGCCCTCTGCCCCTTTCCTCCTGCTTCCCAGGCCCACCCGACAGCTGCCTGGCCAGCTGCTCTGGGGTGGCCCACTCCTCAGACAGGAGCTCCCACGGCTTCGGGGTGCTCGGGTGCTGCACCCGAGCCAAAGTCCCGTCTGTTATATCACATCAGATTAAAACAAAGCAGAACATCCAAAACTTCTCCCAAAGATGCAATATTCTACCAATAGTATAACCAGGTCTCTGATCATAACTAAGCAAACAAGGTTATCCAGAAATTCGAGGAGATCCTTAGTCTCCAAAGCAGAGCTGACAGGGTAGGTAGGAGCAGACGTAGAATCCCTTCGCCATTCCTGATAGAAACAAAGGTTTATAAATATCAGGGCCCACTTTATACTGCTTTCACATAAATCCTGATCTGAGAAACAAAAGAATCTAGCATCAGACTGACTCTACTTTTGAACGGGGAGAACCTAGAAAAGATCATTTTACACATGAATGGTACACTACAATTTGTTTTAAAAGGCCGGGAGGCTGGGGCACCTGGGTGGCTCGGTGGGTTAAGCATCCGACTTTGGCTCAGGTCATGATCTCACGGTCCATGAGTGAGTTCGAGCTCGGCATTGGGCTCTGAGCTGACATGCAGAAATATCTTTGGACAGATGTGCAAAAAAATAGAAGTGCTGGTCTACGGAGGGAGAACTGGGTGGTTAGGAGACAGGAAGGAGACAGTGGCATTTCATTATACACTTTTATTTCTTTTGGAAATTTGAACCATATAAATGTATGGCCATTTAACAAATTAAAATTACTACACCTACAATCAAGGAGAAAAACCTTAAAAAAAAAAAAAGAGAAAAATCTGTCCACGTGAGAACTAATGGACCATTTTATGCACTCAATGTAATATAATCAACTAAGAAATCACATAACTATTCAAATTCCAATCTATACAAGCGAAGCCTAGTGAAGACAGTCAAATGTCTTAATGGAGAGCTAAAAGCTATCATTTAGTCTGTCATACTCAACATACTGATGAAGAAAATTTAAATAATAAAAGACAGCCTGACCTTTGAGGAGCTGGCAGAAGAAAAAGAGGCAGCATCCAAGGCCACTCAGAACTGAGATGCCTGGACCCACCACAGACAGCAAATCCATTCTTCAAACACTCCCCATTTGCTAATCTCATGAGCAGTCTAAATTACGCACCGCAAGGTTCTAGAACACAGCCAGGTGCCTGCCATCAAAGCAACAGTCGCTGGAGTTCAATTAAACTGGACTTGTTAAGAATAGAAGATTGAAAACAAAAAGGCATTTCAACTTGGTGACTGAAGGTGACAGCACTGAATCAGGCAGGCAAAAGGAATCCTGCCAGAGAATGAGGAAGTAAAACCTCTCACAATTTGGGCTCTGTGATGGGGTAATTTACGAGTCAACTTGACTGGCCAACGGGGTGCCCAGACATGTGGTCAAACGTTTCTCTGGGTGTGTCTGGGAGGGGGTTTCTGGATGAGGTTAATGACATTTGAATCAGCAGACTGAGTACAGCAGACTGCCTTTCCCCACGGGGGTGGGCCTCTCCAGTCCACTGAAGGCCTGAAGAAAAGAAAAGAGTGAGAGAAGTCCCTGCCTGGCCATCCTGGAACTGGCCTCCAGGACTTCTGGCTCTGGACTGGAACTTCCAGCATCAGCTACCCTGGTTCTCCTGCTTGCCAAATGCAAATCCTGGGACTGCTCAGCCTTTGTAACCACGTGAGCCAGTTCCTTATAATAAACCTGAGATAAATATATATATATATACATATCTATATACATATATACATATAGATATATATATATATACACATATATATCTATATACATATATATATATATATATTTCCATCCATCCTATTGGTTCTGTTTCCTCTGGAGAAGCCAGACTAATAATACAGGCTCCTAGCCTACTACCATCTAACCAACGAACAAAGCATTTTACAAAATCAATCTCATTCAAGCCAAATGATCCAACACAGGAGGTGGTACCTCCATTTTATAGATAAGGAAACTGAGAAAAGATTACTTAACCTTCCCAAGGTTTCATAGCAGAGCTGTGGTTCAGACCCACGCTTTCTAGATTTATTGACTAATGAGGAATTGCATCCGTCTGGCCATTATGGCAAGTACCAACCCAAGATAAATGAACACTCTTGAGTATCAGAAGGTATATTGTCTGCAGCGGATTGAAACAGAGATGTAAAAATCTAACAGTCATCATGGAAGTTGCTAGGTTATCAAGTTCGTTCTCTGAAGATCAGTAAAGGTAAAGAATTAAGCACTTTTTCTGCCTTTCTTATATAAACTATATTTCAGAGAAACCAAATATTTGATGGGAGTTCTCTGTTTAGAAGGATTTCAGCTAACAAATACAACTGAAATGACACGATCTAGAAAAATCACCATTCTGTAACTCTAATAACAGATCTAGCAGTCTTCCACGAACGCTAGAATCACTAAGTGAAAGGCAACTTTATTTTGGGAGAAGTATGCTGAAACCATCTGAATCCATTTAGCATCACTAAAAGTGGGACAACCAGGCCTGTGTTAAGTTAAGATGTGATACAACAGGAAGTACTTAGCACCACTTCTGAAGTATTCTTGCTGCCAATATGAACCAGAATGTAACCAAACCTCTAGAACAAACTACCATTTTACAACATATCCATAGACAAATTAAGTAACACTACAATAATCAGCCAAATCCAAAATGCAGGATAAACATCTAACAAAAAATGACACAGGAAAAAAAGAGGTGGGGAGAAGATCTGTTTTAGAGTAAGAGACTAAAGGGACATAACCATGAAACGCAATGTGTGAACTTTGGTTCCCAATGCAAACAAATCAAACGTAGAAAGAACATATCTGACCCACCTGGAGAAACTTGAATACGGACTGGGTACTTGTCATTAAAGAATTAATACTAATTTTGGGGGTGTGATAATGGCATGGAGATTATGTTCAGAAAAAAAGGCTTTATCGGTTTGAAATGAAAACTGAAGGATACATGAGCAAATGGTATCACGTCTGGGCTTTGCTAGAACATACTCTGGGCAAAATGCTAGTAAACTGTTGAAGCTGGGCAATGGGTACAAGGGGGGTTCATTCTGCATCCTCTCCTCCTTATATCTTTTGAAGTTTCCACTAACAACAACAACAAATGTGTGTGTGTATACATACACACATATATATGTTTACATGCACACACACACACAGCATTTTAAGAAAAAAAAATATACAATTTAATTTAAAGGCTGAGAAAATAGCTGCAAATGAAGTGAAGTGCTACAACAATGATCTAAAACATAAAGGGCCAGCAGGCTTGGGCACTGGGTGTGACAAGACCGACAAATACAGGCCTTTACTATGAACCACATGCAATGAAAACACCACCAGTAGTAGAATCTGCAAAATTAAGACTCCAAATAAGTTCTAAAGCGAGCGTGAAGATGCCATCTGGTTATGATTCTACATGAGAATCAGGGTGTAAACAGCTATGTGAACAGTTTATGGATATCTTGACAGGCAACATTCTAGAAGGTAGCATTTATCCAACACAAAATCCATGGAAAAAACCTCAAAGAGATTGATGATGGGTGTGGACCCATTAGAACCCCAACTTCTAAGAAACCAGTGATAAGGAAACAAGGCAAGGATCTGGATATGCATGTCGATTCCTGCACCTCTAGAATAGCAGGGCAACAGGGAGGGACTGTGGCCACACAAGATGCTGGCATCTGGGGTTCCAGCCACGCCTGTTCATTTCTTTCTCTCCAGAGGCATGATTCTTAGATATTCTCAACAGGTTTAAAAGAGCTTACTGAATCCAAATTCTTCAAATACTGGTACTTCATCTAACATACATACAATTCTCAATGAACCAAAAGACAAAATTCATCAGGATAGCCCTTTTTTAACGACTCTGGATTAAGAGAAGTTTTCTAGGTAGGGCATTAATGCCCAAGCACCTTTTTTAGAAAGGCAGGGACCATTTTCCGAAAAGAAACCTCCCCAGGAAGTGTAAGTGGGTCATCGGAAGAAAAGGAACGACTGACAGTCCAAACAGAGCAGAGCACAAGGTTTTGCCACGAGCATCCAACTTTAGACGCATTTAATACAAATGGTTCCAAGACCACAGACTGGATAACCTTTACCTTGGGTGTTCTGGAAATAATGTCGCCACAAAGGTCTGATTTTGTCCTGGCCACCAACATCCCAGACTGTGAAGCTGATATTTTTATATTCTACCGTTTCCACATTGAAACCTAAATTGGGAAGACGGAGAAAACTGTTAATGAAGACTTCTGTTGGCTGAACGATTCCCATGTATTTCAGCTAACATTTGGACAGTACTTTTAATTTACAAAGCAACTTGCTAGTCAAAGATCTATAGCTTACAGGGGCGCTGGGCTGGCTCAGTGGATACGGCATGCAACGCTTGATCTCAGGATAGTGTGTTCAAGCCCTACTCTGAGCCTAGAGCTTACTTGAAAAAGAAAAAAAGATCTATGGCTTACAAAACCGAGTATGTTAGCTCGCTCTTTCACTCATCACCTTCTCTACTCTCTCCAGACTCAAACCTCACACATCCCCTTCTTTTCTCTCAGCAGATCTTACAGTGCACTTCAGAGCAAACAGAAGCCACTAATGGGACGACTTTCACCTCCCACCAAACAATGTAGAAACCTACCTACACCTTTCCCCACCCTTTGCTTCCCTCCTTGGAACAACAGAAGAGGGCCACTATCCAATGTCAGTTCTAACCACTCATACCGCCAGACCTTGGGCTGCTCTCCCCCCCCCCCCCCCCCCCCCCCCCGCTCTCTGAAATCCCCACCCTGTTCTTCTTAGCACGCTTAAATCTTCACATCTTTCAAAAAAAGCCCTTCCTTGACTCCACATCTTGAACTGCTACCACCCTCTATTTTCCCTGTTAAAGCCAAACTTCTCCAAGAATAGTTACATTCACTGCACCTACTGTGTCACCTTGTACCCTAGAAAACCTTGGTTCTGCCCACCATGTTACAGACCTGGCGTTGCCGAGGCAAGTAGTGATCGATCGGCATGTTAATAAATCCAACAGATGCTCTTTGGTTCTTAGGTAATTTGACTTCGCATCTGACACTACTGCTCACTTCCTCCTTGAAACTCTTCCCTGGTTTCCCATTCTCCTTCTAATTCTATGGCTGAACCTTCTCGGTCTACTTAGTGAGCTCAACCACGTTTAATTGATCCTTAGATGATGGACTTCCTAGGACTCTGTACTGCCCCATCCATTCTCTTCTTTCCACATCCCCAGAGGTAATCTCCTTCCCTCCTGGGGCTGTATCACCATTTTTGTGCTAATGACTCTCAAATTTACATGATCTGAACCCAGATCTCCTGAGCTTCAGGTCCATAATCCAACCTTCTATCCAACATCTTTGGTTAAATGTCTCAAAGGCTCCGGTAAGGGAGTACGTCAAAACTGAACTTAAGATCCCCACCCCTCTAACCTGCTCCTCTCCTAGCTACCCCTGCACCCCTTCATCCCACAAGCTGGAAATCTGGAAGGCATCACTGACACTTTCAACTCTCTCACCCCTAAAATTCTCATTATGGGGGGCACCTGGGTGGCTCAGTCGGTTAAGTGTCTGACTTCGGCTCAGGTCATGATCTTGCGGTTCACGAGTTCGAGCCCCGGGTCGGGCTCTGTGCTGACAGCTCAGAGCCTGGAGCCTGCTTTGGATTCTGTGTCTCCCTCCCTCGCTCTCTCTGCCCATCCCCCACTCACACTCTGTCCCTCTCTCACTGTCAAAAATAAGTAAAAATTTTTAATAAAAAAAAAATTCTCATTATCAAATCTTATCTGTCCAACCTCCTAAATATCTAATAGTCATCCTAACCCCTGAAACTGTCATTTCTTGCCTCAATTATTGAAGCAACCTAACTAATCTAGCGGCAGCCACTCTTCCTCTCTGTCCACTACCATTTTCTAATCAAAACTCTCAAAACACATGTGGTCATACCACTTCCCTACACATTCATGCTTGATTGAAATATTTAAAATAAGGGGGGAAAAATAATCTCTCTTTGGCTTCCCACACCCAAATCCCAAACATGACTGTCGAGGCCTACCCCAACCTGGAACTGCTCACTTTCTAAATCTCACTTTGAGTCAAGCCTGGTTTTCGCGAGGGGCTCTCACTACATTGCAGAAATCTCAATTCTTGCTAAATAAATGTATAATTTCAATGACATTCTAAAGCGAAGAGGGAAAGGAAGTGGGATAGGAAACTTAGCAAAACGATCTTAAATGTAATCTGGAAAAATAAGTAAGCATAACCAAGAACTCTCTGAAAACAGGTAACAAATTACTTTTAAGATATTAGGGGTGCCTAAGTGGCTCAGTCGGTTAAGTGTCTGACTCTCGGCTCTGGCTCAAGTCATGATCTCACGGTTTCGTGAGTTTGAGCCCCGCATGAGGCTCTGCGCTAATGGTGCGGAGCCTGCTTGGGATTCTCATTCTCTGTCTCTCTCTCTCTCTCTCTCCACCCCCGTCTCTACCCCTCCCCAGCTCACACTGTGTGTGCGTGTGTGTGTGTGTGTGTGTGTGTGTCTCAAAATAAATAAACAAAAAAAATTTTTTAAAGATATTATCAAACCTTAATAATACTTGAAATAATGAAGTTCAAATAACAGGGGGTTGTCCAGAAGGACACACACACCCATGAAAACTTAATATATGACAAAGAAGGCATTTAAAATCAGTGTGGAAACACTATCCAATAAATGGTGGAGAGCTGTCTATCCCTGCACATGTCCTATACACATGTGACTGTCTGGATTTAATTGAAATTAAAAACGTGGGCTCCTCAATCGCACTAGCCACATTTCAAGTGCTCAAGAGCCACTTGCGGCTATGGCTATCAACCTGGACAGTGGTCACAGAACACTTCCATCACTGCAGAATGTTCTACTGGACAGCACTGGCCTTCTCATTTGAAAAATATAACTAGGGGCGCCTGGGTGGCTCAGTTGGTTAAGCGGCCGACTTCGGCTCAGGTCATGACCTCGCAGCTTGTGAGTTCGAGCCTCGCTTCGGGCTCTGCTGACGGCTCAGAGCCTGCAGCCTGCTTCAGAGTCTGTGTCTCCCTCTCTCTGCCCCTTCCCCAGCTCACACTCTGTCTCTCTCTCTCTCAAAAATAAATAATTAAAAAAAAACAAAATATAAATAAATATAACTAAATCCCTAACTTACTTGTAACAGAAAAATAAACTTCAAGTAAATATTTCAATGCTTTTAAAAATGAAATAAAAATAATGCAAAAAAAATAATAATGCATTATTATTAGCAGTAGAAAATATTGGTGAATACTTTTATGACCCCAGAGTGAGGAAGCCCTTTCTAAAAATGATACCAAACCTAAAAAAAGAAAAAAATTGGTAAATTTGGCTACCTAAAATTCTGTATGGCAAAACACAGAAAAAATGAGGTTGAAAGACCATCAACTGGAAAACCAGCATGGGACAAGACTTGTTCCTGACCCATAATGTCCTTCTTCAAATCGTTAAGAGACATATAAACATGCCAACAAAAAGAAAAAAACCCTAGAACCATATTAAAATCAAGTCACAGAAGAGCAAATACAAAAGACCCACTGATGTTTGAATATATTCACTTACAATAGAAGAAATCCCAATAAAAATCAGTGTTTTTTTCTCTATCAGATCGGCAAATTCCCTGGAGAAATTAACACTTTTTAGTAGCTGCTGACACAACCTTTTTGGTGAGTGTGTACCCATATTAAATGTACGTTGTTTTTAAGTAAACTCTACGCCCAATGCGGGGCTCAAACTCACAACTCCAAGATCAAGAGTCACATGCTCCACCGACTGAGCCAGCCAGCGCCCCCTAAATGTACATTGGTTTTAACATAGCAATCCCTCCCCCAGAAATTACTGCAAGGAGAAAACTTTGCAAAAATGTTAAAGATGCTTACTTCAGCATCACTTACAAAGAACAACCATCAATGGAAATTCATTAAAATATAGCTACAATGGAATACTATCCAGTTATTAAAATGCGATGTTCATCTGTATCAGTCGTTAGGTAAGCCCCCAAACTTAGTGACTTAGAATAATGATTCCCTCCATCACCACCACCAATTCTGTGGGTTGCCTGGGTTTCCCCCTGTAGTACATTCAGCCAAGGAATCCCCTGGGGGCTGGGCCAGGCTTCTCTCTCTCCAGGTAGTCTTTTCATTCTCAAGGAACATTGGGCTTCCTCTTCTGAAGGTGGCAGTGTTCCAAAAGTGCAAGCCCCAGGGCAAAAGCACTAACTTCACCTTTGCTTGAATTACATTTGTTGATGCTCCCTAAGCCAAAGCAAGCCTGTGGCCAAGCTGAGCATCACAGTAGAAGGGAACTGCATATGGGCGTGGATACAGAGAGGAATGATGCATTGGGGGCCATTAGTTTAATGATCTACCACAAGGTTGGTATCCAATTCATTCACCAAACATTTACTGGACCGGGGTGCCTGAGTGGCTCAGTCAGATAAGTGCCCCACTCTTGACTTGATTTTTGGCTCAGGCCACGATTTCATGGTTCCTGAGTTCGAGCCCCACACTGGACTCTCAACGCGGAGACTGGTTGGGATTCAATCTCTCTGACCCTCCCTGCCCCCCGGCTGGCTCATGTGTGCGCATGCATGTGCTCTCTCTCTCTCTCTCAAAATAAATAAATAAA